CTGATAATAATTTACTGCTGCTTTTGGCAGTATTCTAGATGCATTGACTGGTCTGGGATTTAGTGTTATTCCAGGTGTAAAGTGTATTCTAATATTCCAAGTGTATAGTACTTTGTTAATAGTCAAAGTGTATTGTTTATATTCCAGGTGCATTGTTCATTGTGCATTGCTTGCATTCTAGGTGTGTAGTGTATTGTTAATATTTCAGTGTATAGTGTATTTGTATTTATTCCTGGTGTGTTGACCTATGTTTAGTGTATAGTTTATATTCCAGATGTGTTGAGCTTTGTACAGTTTATAGTTTGTATTCCATTTACATTTATATGTACATAATGTACAGTTTATATTCCAGGTGTGTTGAGCTTTGTACAGCGTATAGTTTATATTCCAGGTGTGTTGATCTGTATACAGCATATAGTTTATATTCCAGGTGTGTTGATCTGTATACAGCGTATAGTTTATATTCCAGGTGTGTTGATCTGTATACAACGTATAGTTTATATTCCAGGTGTGTTGAGCTTTGTACAGTTTATAGTTTGTATTCCAGGTGTGTTGATATGTATACAGCATATAGTTTATATTCCAGATGTGTTGATCTGTATACAGCATATAGTTTATATTCCAGGTGTGTTGATCTGTATACAGCGTATAGTTTATATTCCAGGTGTGTTGATCTGTATACAACGTATAGTTTATATTCCAGGTGTGTTGAGCTTTGTACAGTTTATAGTTTGTATTCCATTTACATTTATATGTACATAATGTACAGTTTATATTCCAGGTGTGTTGAGCTGTGTTTAGTGTACAGTTTATATTCCAGGTGTGTTGATATGTATACAGCATATAGTTTATATTCCAGATGTGTTGAGCTTTGTACGGTTTATAGTTTGTATTCCATTTACATTTATATGTACATAATGTACAGTTTATTTTCCAGGTGTGTTGAGCTGTGTTTAGTGTACAGTTTATATTCCAGGTGTGTTGATATGTATACAGCATATAGTTTATATTCCAGGTGTTGAGCTTTGTACAGCGTATAGTTTATATTCCAGGTGTGTTGATATGTATACAGCGTACAGTTTATATTCCAGGTGTGTTGAGCTGTATACAGCATATAGTTTATATTCCAGGTGTTGAGCTTTGTACAGCGTATAGTTTGTATTCCAGGTGTGTTGATATGTATACAGCGTACAGTTTATATTCCAGGTGTGTTGAGCTGTATACAGCATATAGTTTATATTCCAGGTGTGTTGAGCTTTGTACAGCATATAGTTTGTATTCCAGGTGTGTTGATATGTATACAGCGTATAGTTTATATTCCAGATGTGTTGATCTGTATACAGCGTATAGTTTATATTCCAGGTGTGTTGATCTGTATACAGCGTATAGTTTATATTCCAGGTGTGTTGATATGTATACAGCGTATAGTTTATATTCCAAGTGTGTTGATATGTATACAGCGTAAAGTTTATATTCCAGGTGTGTTGAGCTTTGTACAGCATATAGTTTATATTCCAGGTGTGTTGAGCTGTGTTTAGTGTACAGTTTATATTCCAAGTGTGTTGATATGTATACAGCATATAGTTTATATTCCAGATGTGTTGAGCTTTGTACAGTTTATAGTTTGTATTCCATTTACATTTATATGTACATAATGTACAGTTTATATTCCAGGTGTGTTGAGCTGTGTTTAGTGTACAGTTTATATTCCAGGTGTGTTGATATGTATACAGCGTATAGTTTATATTCCAGGTGTGTTGAGCTTTGTACAGTTTATAGTTTGTATTCCATTTACATTTATATGTACATAATGTACAGTTTATATTCCAGGTGTGTTGATCTGTATACAGCGTACAGTTTATATTCCAGGTGTGTTGATATGTATACAGCGTATAGTTTATATTCCAGGTGTTGAGCTTTGTACAGCGTATAGTTTGTATTCCAGGTGTGTTGATATGTATACAGCGTACAGTTTATATTCCAGGTGTGTTGAGCTGTATACAGCATATAGTTTATATTCCAGGTGTGTTGAGCTGTGTTTAGTGTACAGTTTATATTCCAGATGTGTTGATCTGTATACAGCGTATAGTTTATATTCCAGGTGTGTTGATCTGTATACAGCGTATAGTTTATATTCCAGGTGTGTTGATATGTATACAGCGTATAGTTTATATTCCAAGTGTGTTGATATGTATACAGCGTATAGTTTATATTCCAGATGTGTTGATATGTATACAGCGTATAGTTTATATTCCAGATGTGTTGATCTGTATATAGCGTATAGTTTATATTCCAGGTGTGTTGATCTGTATATAGCATATAGTTTATATATTCCAGGTGTGTTGATCTGTATATGTATATAGTTTATATTCCAGGTGTGTTGATCTGTATACAGCATATAGTTTATATTCCAGGTGTGTTGATCTGTATACAGCGTATAGTTTATATTCCAGATGTGTTGATATGTATACAGCGTATAGTTTATATTCCAGGTGTGTTGATCTGTATACAGCATATAGTTTATATTCCAGGTGTGTTAATATTAATACAGCATATAGTTTATATTCCAGGTGTGTTGATCTGTATACAACGTATAGTTTATATTCCAGGTGTGTTGATCTGTATACAGCGTATAGTTTATATATTCCAGGTGTGTTGATCTGTATACAGCGTATAGTTTATATTCCAGGTGTGTTGATATGTATATAGCATATAGTTTATATTCCAGATGTGTTGATCTGTATACAGCGTATAGTTTATATTCCAGATGTGTTGATCTGTATACAGCGTATAGTTTATATTCCAGGTGAGTTGATATATATACAGCATATAGTTTATATTCCAGATGTGTTGATCTGTATACAACGTATAGTTTATATTCCAGATGTGTTGATCTGTATACAGCATATAGTTTATATTCCAGGTGTGTTGATCTGTATACAGCATATTGTTTATATTCCAGATGTGTTGATCTGTATACAGCGTATAGTTTATATTCCAGGTGTGTTGATCTGTATAGAGCATATATACTACCCATCAAAAGTTTAGACTCACTAGTGTAAATGTAGCCACTTACTTGTCCACTGTTCTAAACTAGCTTTTTGCAAAATATTCCATACTGTTTAAAGGTACTGTTTAGTTATGAACTGGTGTATTGTAAAACATATTCGTAACATTGAAAAGATTATTGTCATGAGTTCAGTAAATGATTAAAATCTGTGAAAATTGGCGAATTCTTAACAAAACTTTACACCAAAACGAATCTGTTCACATGCACGACATTTGCTCATGCCTTTCTCAATTTGAAGCATCATCCTTGTGCAATTCATCTGCATAAGGTTTTCAGTTGGTTCCCCCAAGTTGGTGGAGAAATTCATCTTCGATGTAACCACATACATATACATAACATATAGTGAGTGCTTTCAGTGAGTCTAAACTTTTGATGGGTAGTATAGTTTATATTCCAGATGTGTTGATCTGTATACAGCGTATAGTTTATATTCCAGATGTGTTGATCTGTATACAACGTATAGTTTATATTCCAGATGTGTTGATCTGTATACAACGTATAGTTTATATTCCAGATGTGTTGATCTGTATACAGCATATAGTTTATATTCCAGGTGTGTTGATCTGTATACAGCGTATAGTTTATATTCCAGATGTGTTGATCTGTATACAACGTATAGTTTATATTCCAGGTGTGTTGAGCTGTGTTTAGTGTACAGTTAATATTCCAGGTGTGTTGATCTGTATACAGCGTATAGTTTATATTCCAGGTGTGTTGATATGTATATAGCGTATAGTTTATATTCCAGGTGTGTTGAGCTTTGTACAGCGTATAGTTTATGTTCCATGTGTGTTGATCTGTATACAGGGTATAGTTTATATTCCAGGTGTGTTGATATGTATATAGCGTATAGTTTATATTCCAGGTGTGTTGAGCGGTGTTTAGTGTACAGTTTATATTCCAGGTGTGTTGATCTGTATATAGCATATAGTTTATATTCCAGGTGTGTTGAGCTTTGTACAGTGTATAGTTTATATTCCAGGTGTGTTGAGCTTTGTACAGTGTATAGTTTATATTCCAGGTGTGTTGAGCGGTGTTTAGTGTACAGTTTATATTCCAGGTGTGTTGATCTGTATACAATGTATAGTTTATATTCCAGGTGTGTTGAGCTGTGTTTAGTGTACAGTTTATATTCCACGTGTGTTGATCTGTGTATAGTGTATATTTCAGGTGTGTCGAGCTTTGTACAGTGTATAGTTTATAATTCCAGATGTTTTGACCTTTGCATAGTTTATACTCCAGGTGTGTTGATCTGTATATGTATATAGTTTATACTCCAGGTGTGTTGATCTGTATATGTATATAGTTTATACTCCAGGTGTGTTGATCTGTGTATGTATATAGTTTATACTCCAGGTGTGTTGATCTGTGTATGTATATAGTTTATACTCCAGGTGTGTTGATGTTGATCTGTATATGTATGTATATAGTTTATACTCAGGTGTGTTGATCTGTATGTATATAGTTTATACTCAGGTGTGTTGATCTGTGTATGTATATAGTTTATACTCCAGGTGTGTTGATCTGTATATGTATATAGTTTATACTCCAGGTGTGTTGATCTGTATATGTATATAGTTTATACTCCAGGTGTGTTGATCTGTATATGTATATAGTTTATACTCCAGGTGTGCTGATCTGTATATAGTATATGGTTTATATTGCAGGTGTGTTGATCTGTGTATGTATATAGTTTATACTTCAGGTGTGCTGATCTGTGTATGTATATAGTTTATACTCCAGGTGTGCTGATCTGTATATGTATATAGTTTATACTCCAGGTGTGCTGATCGGTATATAATATGGTTTATACTCCAGGTGTGCTGATCGGTATATAATATGGTTTATACTCCAGGTGTGTTGATCTGTGTATGTACATAGTTTATACTCCAGGTGTGCTGATCGGTATAGTATATGGTTTATATTGCAGGTGTGTTGAATGCTGTCAACGTTCCTGTGCTGGTGGGTTCAGGAGTGACAACCGCCAACATATCACAGTATAAGTCAGCTCATGGGCTAATTGTTGGCTCCCACTTCAAACGAGACGGACACTGGGCAAATGAAATTGATCAGGACCGATTAAAAAAATTCATGGAGCAAGTGAAAGCTGTTCGTGAAAACAAGTTACTCCAGGCTACCATGATTATTTGAATACAATTCCAACCATGTATATGGATTGCACCTACAGAGGAATGGTCTTGCGGGATCTTGAGGGATTGCGTGTGGGGAACGTGCCTCTAGTCATTATCAGTGGGCCCATTAGTGTGTCTACAGGTGGTGCTGTAGATGCTTTTGTCAGGAGCTGTTAGAAGTAGAAAGTTAATCACATTTTTTAGTGACGTAGCATTCATCTGTCATGAAGATCTTACGAAAATAATGTCACTGATCTAGATCTTGTTTCTGTTATCATTCATGTGCACCATGTATAAACCCTCACTTCTGAGGGATTCAGGTGAACATGGCTGCAGTTTGTCACAAGGCAAGATTTTTATTTTTTGTTGGTTAAAAGACATTTGTTTTTATAACCATGGTTGGCAATTTGGTGAAAAGAAGACAAATTTTATTTTGTATTCTTCACGAAATTAGTTTAATATATTGCTATTTTGAGCTTTATTTACGTAGCTGGTATGTTTGGCGTTACATTTCAACATAGGGTATGTACAATTGTTTCTACTGAATCTGTGAGCAGTGGGCAGTTTGAAAAATAGTGCTGGTAATTTTTCCAACTTTTTAGTTTGGTAGGTCCATATTTAATATTTTTTATCTCATCTAAGATGGGGACAGGTTACAATGGTGAGTGAGTGGATTTGTGGGTTGGTATATGGGTGAGTATGTGAGTGAGTGTGTCTGGCTTTGAAACATTATTTCAGTAGGGTGACCACTAGAAACAAACAATTTCTTTCAAATTGAAAAGGAGCCAAACTGTAATGGGAGATTGAACCTGAGGAATTCTAGACTTTCTTCATTTAGGGTATTAGCACAGCAGAAAGGGCTGGGCAGAAGGGAAATTAATGCGGTACATGGACTGTGAGACAGACTAGGTAACCACCAGGTCAGGTCACAGCTACTGCTGATTGCCATCTCATTAGGATCAGATCCTTCATTCCCAGAGGAGACCTCTCTGTGGCAGGTTGTGAGGACATGGGCAAGGGAGATCACTCCAGGTGAACCCTGAACAACCTTTGACCTTCCAATCTAAATTAGGGAGGCATGATCTTTCTGAAACAGTTTGCCTTCATTTCTTTACCACCTCCAGTCAGAATAAGAATATTGACAACAGAAAACCCTCACTGGACACACGTATCCTTTGATGTTGCTCTCTGTGGGGTGTCGATGCCATGGAGCTCAGAAATAACTGGGTTTCAAATACTGGCAGAATAAAATGGTGTGGCCTTCATTATATTTAGTTCGCATTTTAGGGTTGTTTCCTAGATAAAAAACGAGATATGCTGGTCTGCTGATTGGCTCTTTAGGAAGTACATTTGACACAACCTTTAATGGAGGCGTTCTCAGATCTTCATGCATCAAGATATCATATGGGAATTAAAATTTCTATGTTTAATGAGACTTTTCTTGATAACAAGCCAACAAACAAACCTGTCTGAGCATGACTTTGTGTGAAGCTTTGGATTTAGTCACGATGGCATAAAACAGTGATGACAGATCTCTTTTCTGCTCCAAGCTTGTGACTGAATTTGCATATGTCATGGGTACCGGCAGTCACTGAGATTGGCCATCCGATCCTCCTGTCCTCTGTTAGGTTGTCCAACAAATAAGGAATACTGGCGGCCTTTTCGTCATGAAACCATGAGCATGGGTGGCCTAGTTGTCGGAGGGTTTGCCTGTTTATATTTCAAGGTTCGTCACCAATACCAATACCCTGCCCTTCCTCCTACATTAAGCTGGCACACCCAGTCAGTCAGTCAGTCAGTCAGTCAGTCAGTCCTCCTACATTAAGCTGGCACACCCAGTTAGTCAGTCAGTCAGTCAGTCAGTCCTCCTACATTAAGCTGGCACACCCAGTCAGTCAGTGTCAGTCAGTCAGTCAGTCAGTCCTCCTACATTAAGCTGGCACACCCAGTCAGTCAGTCAGTCAGTCAGTGTCAGTCAGTCAGTCAGTCAGTCCTCCTACATTAAGCTGGCACACCCAGTCAGTCAGTGTCAGTCAGTCAGTCAGTCCTCCTACATTAAGCTGGCACACCCAGTCAGTCAGTCAGTCAGTGTAAGTCAGTCACCCAGTCAGTCAGTCAGTCAGAACTCCCATGAAATCACATTTCAGTATTTTATAGTTAGCAAATATTCACAAGGATCAAGCCAGTGTTACACATTTTTCAATATTTATCAGTTCCCTTGTTTACACTCACAACACTTAGAATCTGTTATGGTTTAGATTTGGGAACTATTTTAAAGTCTCTTCAGTGTATCTCCACAAGGTTGAGTGAGATAGGACACACAGAATCTTGTCTAATCAAACAAAACAGTCTGTCCACATCCCATTGTACACAGTACTTGTACCCACTTCCTGTTTCCTAATTCCATTCTTTATCATCTGAACATTTGTAAAGAAGCTTACATTTCATCCTGATAGACATTGCCCAGTTCACAAATGTACTATATATCTTTAACAATGGCTGTCGGAGCTATTTCTCGTAATGAGATCTGTCATATTTATAATTATGATTATACAGAGTAATTACACAGATAGTCGTTTATGCGGATTGCTTCATAATTCATGATGCTCAGATTGGTGGTGTTTGTGACATAAATGAAGCTGGTTATTTATTGCTTAATAACATGTCAGCCATTAACGCTGATGAGGCATCGGCACCGAATGGAGCCGAAATTGGAATGTTGCAGTTAAGTTCGCTAGAAATGCCACTGGTGTCTTTTTATGAGGCACCATTGTTGAGGAAATGTTACATGTCTGGTTTTAATGCTCAGTACAATGTCTGATTTCAGTGTTCAGTACAATGTCTGGTTTCAGTGTTCAGTACAATGTCTGGTTTCAGTGTTCAGTACAATGTATGGTTTCAGTGTTCAGTACAATGTATGGTTTCAGTGTTCAGTACAATGTCTGGTGTCAGTGTTCAGTACAATGTCTGGTTTCAGTGTTCAGTACAATGTATGGTTTCAGTGTTCAGTACAATGTATGGTTTCAGTGTTCAGATACAATGTCTGGTTTCAGTGTTCAGTACAATGTCTGGTTTCAGTGTTCAGTACAATGTCTGGTTTCAGTGTTCAGATACAATAGAACTCCTTTAATCTGGAATCTTGTTGTTGTTTAATGCTGAACTATTGCTGCTGTTGGAATGTTCCGATATGACTGGCATTTCTTAATATTTGCGTCTTGATGTTGTTGTTGTTCTTCTTCTTCTCCTTCTTCTTCCTCTTGTTGAGGGGCGGTGGGGTAGCCTAGTGGTTAAAGCGTTGGCTAGTCTCGCCGAAGACCCAGACCCGGGTTCGATTCCTCACATGGGTACAATGTGTGAAGCCCATTTCTGGTGTCCCCTGCCGTGATATTGCTGGAATATTGCTGAAAGTGGCATAAAACTAAACTGAACTCACTCACTCACTATTTAACCTGGATCTTGTCTGTCAGGAACTGTTGTATTTTGGATGATTGCAATGAGACTACATTAACCCAGGACTGTGTTTGTTAGTATGTGTGTTTTGGAGTGATCTGATAGGAAAGTGAATGGAAGAATCGCATTTGTGTTATGTTCCACACACAGATCCACCGACCATCTTTATTCCAGACATAACTCAGCTTTTAGAAATATCGTAAACAAAACTAGACAACGATCAAATTAGTTACAAATGTGTTTTCAGTTTTGTAGGGGTTATCAAATATTTGAAGCATTGGAATTTCATTTGTAAAGGGCGATGTTATATTTGATCAGTCATTCCTGTTATGCATTATTCAGAGTAGTCTCCCTTCCCTTGGTACATTTCTTCTGAGAAAAGATGAGCTTTCATAATATGAAACAATTAAATTTCTCTGTGTTCATTGTAATTCTGCATTCCGAAACACATATTCGTACAGTGCACATGAGTGGTTCAATTTTTTATGTCAGTAAAACAATTTACACTGTCAATCCTAAATGAATCATGAGTTTTTACTTAAATAAATTTTTTTAGCTGCTTCAAGTTGTTTTATTTGCAAAACAGGTAAGGAAACACAAGCAATTGAGGCGAAACGTTTTCCCGGCATTCTCTGCTCTCACTGGCTCATGAACGAAGGAACAAGATACGTATTTCAGTAGACATACAATCTTCAGCCAATAACATGCATACAGTATTGACATACAGTTTTACACAAGACAACGTGGATGCCAGATGTTGCTTCCAAGTTTGTTGGATCTGGTAATTAAGTTTTATGTAATTTGTTCCACAAACAAAAGACATATGGTTTAATTGGTATCACTGTATACCAATCAATAGCCCTGCACTTTGCAGAACATATTAGCTGAGCTGCGCCAGGCAACTGATAGCCTGTGTTAAAATTTACATAGTTATTATGGAATGCCTAACATTCATCCTGTTGCTATTACCGAGACCCTGTGTTGATAATAACTTTGTCCATTTTGTCAATATTCCTGATGAAACTATAGAATCATCTTGTTGAAAGCTATTTTCCTACTCGAAATTCATAAGGGGTTTGTATGATATTGCATGATAGGTCGTAATACTTGGAATACCCTGCTGAACTGGGTACAATATTCCTTGCAACTGGTTATCAGTTTAAGGTCAACATGGGAATACATTAATAGTTGTGTGCTTAAACAATATCAGTTGTAAGGGAATATTCTGATTTGATATAATGTAAAATTGCATTTTATGATATTATCAATCATATTATTGTCAATTTTTGTGAGATTTTTAATATTTACATTTGTTTTGATGTGTTGTAATGTTTATTGAAAATGTTCGCTGTTTGCAGTCTGATTTATGTGTTGTTTATGTGTGATTGTTGGAATAGCTGTTATATATCTTTTTAGTACTTTTGGGAGGTGTATTCGTCTTTTTCAGGTCAGAATTTAAGATCTACGATGTTTTGTGAATTTTTTTATTGAACACATAATGGATAAAATTGTAACCACAAAGCGTGTTGTTGTATTTATTGTGTTACAAATGGAGTGCCTGATGGGGACAGTGGTTCCACGTTGAAATATCCATGTTGTATCCACAACACCTGTAAACATGATTAACTCTGAGAAATCAGTGATTTATGGCATATGCAAGGACTAGTTGTTTTCTGTTGAATTGAAATATCAGGTCCATTGAAACAAGCAAATAAACTCAGTTTTCCATGAATAACTTTAGCCCTCTCAAACATACACAGTTTGGTTTCCTGAGAAAGCTTATTCACTACTTACTTAATGCCATGTGGAGGGAAATGATTGAAATCAATTTTTGAAAGTTAAAAGTGCAAATGTAAGTAGTTCTGTATATTATGGTGATCTTGTTTTATTCAACTTGCCAATAAAAAAACAGCTAAATGTTGCTAAGTGATTACTAATTTGTGTCATAAGCAGGGACTAGCAGTTTTCTGGTGAATTTGAATAGTAGAAGGTCTATTAGAACAAGCAAATAAACGCAATTTTCTGTGAA